TGAAGCAGTTGGGTGACCTTTGCTAAGTTATAGAGCTAATGAATGGGAGACTCTGAATTCAAATCCCAATTTTTTTTAAAATCTGTTTTTACCATGGATGCCACCATTAAGTACTAATGAGGAAAATTATTTTGTTGTATGTTGGGTCAAGCTGATGGACAGGTGTCTCATAAAGGGAAGCCATTTTACATGTAACAAACCCTGACAATGCTTGAGATAATGTATCCACTGCTACCTTTGGACCAGCTGAGACGTTTGAACATCTTTTTTAAAATGCCAGGCACTAACTCGTCTACTTGTTAGAATATGCCATAAATTTTAAGGAAAAAAATGAGGGAAATAGAAGAGAGAGAGAGAGAGAGAGAGAGGATGAATATGTGCTCAGACTGGGGCAGTCAACAGGGAAGAACCCACTCCCCCCCCTTCTCCTCAGATGCCCTCGCAGGACCTGTAAGCACAGGCACTCCACTCTGAAACAAAACGTCTCTCCTCAGCAACCCCTGGAGTACCCTTTTCCCCTCTCTGCCAGCCTCCACTGAGAGAATGCACCATTCTCCAAGACAAATTTCTGTCCCCAAGGAACCTACAGGTATTGAGGGAACAAAGCTGTGCACAGGGGTGATAAGGGGCAGGAGCTGCCAGGGGGACCAAGTCCCAACACCAAACTCCATCTATGGACTGCCCTGTAGATTTAGGGGAAATGAATGCCTTCTGGCCAGAACCTGGAGACCCAGCTGCTTCTACAGTCAGCCCACCCTCAGCTAGTATGTTGACCTGTGGCTCCTTTGGCCAACTTCCTTCAATGTAAGGAATACATCACCTTTGGCAGTGTATACCCTGGAGCTCCCAACTCAGTAGCCACACCCACCTCTGAGTCTCAATAGACAGATGGCTGAGCCTGACCTCCTAACCAACCCCAGCCTGACCATGAAGTCTGTGCCAGGAGCCAGGGGTTCCAAGGGCGGCAGTTCTCCATGAAGTAACAACTGGGAAAGCCCCACTCTACGCACTCTTTCTTGAAGATCCTCGTGCTGAGGGGAGACACACAATTCAAGACTCATCTAAAGCAGGGTGTATTCACCTGAAAATCTAACCAACAGCTGGGCAGCTGCTTTGATACCCTCCTCCCCAAGGCAGTGCCTCCCACTGCACTTGGCTCCAGGAGCCTGGGTCTGGAAACTGCAGATGGTTATGTGTCTTCATCCCTCTCAGACCACAGCTCAGCTGCAATGGCCCTGAAGACTCTTGCTGTGATTTCGCTCCAATCCCAACCTTCCTGTCCACTCTCACCATCATCATTCTAGGTCAAGGCTGCCCTGATTCCCTCTCCTGAACTCCTACATTCACCCTGTTCCCTGCCATGGCATCATCCTGTTATCCCTACACCAGTCATCCCTGGTATCAGTTTCTGGTTTTTAATACGGTCTTCCACTAAATCTGAAGCCTGGAATTCAAAAGCATCAACCATCCAGCCCAGACCCTCACCTGAACCTTCCTAGTTGCTCACATGCCCTCCAAATGTACCCTGCACACTCTCCCCTCAAGAAGTTTCATTCCTGTTACTGGAGCTCCATTGCCTCCTCTCCATACTGGCCCCACACGACACAAGACACATGACACATTATGCTATGGAATGTGACCCAACCTTCAAAACCCACTTCAAACCCTACACCTCTGTGACTATATCATTAAGGGCCCTTGTCCAAAGGGGACAGGCTGCTCTTAACCCTGCTGTCACACATCCACATACCATCCTCTGTGCTCCTGCCCAGCTTTCACTGTTGTTCCACCTGAAGAAAAGCAGGCTGGGTGGTAGCCTGAGCGGAGGCTTTGAAACCAGGCCTGTCTGGGTTCTCTTTGGGAAGTGACTTAATTTTGCTGAACTGCCTTTTCTTTTTCTTTCTTTCTTTTTTGGGGGGAAGGAGGGATCTTTTCGAGACAGGGTCCCCCTGTAGCCCCAGCTGCCCTGGAATGCACTGTGTAAACCAGGCTGGCCTTGATCCCACAAATATCTACCTGCCTCTGCCTCCCAAGCACTGGGAATAAAGGCACATACTACCACACCGGACTGAACTTCCTTTATTTATATAAAAACAGATTTAACCTCTGTCTTACAGGCCTATTGTCAGAGGCAAAGATAAAATACATAAACCACAATATATTATTTTTTATATTTTATTTAGTATTTTTATTTTATGTGTATGAGTGTATTGCCTGAATGTATGTGAGCACACCTGTGTCATGCAATGCCACAGGTCAGAAGAGAGTGTTGGATTCCCCTGGAACTGAAGTTAAGGATGGTTCATGTCACGCTATCTCCAATGAAGCCCACGTGAGAACCTCTGTGGGTTGAGGCTGGAACTTCAAGGAAGGTTGCCTCTTGGAGTTGGCTGTGCTAAAAAACATGCAGTGTACTTGGCATGCTTTTACTTGCTATTATCTTTTCTGACTGTCACTGTATCATGGGCTTTCAGGGATCCAGAAAACACCTGGTGTCCTTGACACCGTCACTGCCTTTATTGAAATCTTTTAATTATCCTAGTATACAGGAAGAGTTCTCAGGAACTCAATCACCAAAGACAACTTTGCCTCCAGATGCATCACTATTAATGAAAGTCATTTTAGATGCAGCAAGAAGTAGCTAATCAAAATTAATGCTGGAAAGTCCAGGGAATAACGGATTTCTAGAAAAGAGACATAGATGGGTAAATATAGAGAGAAGAAGGATTTCTTGGTATTCATTACAATCCATGGA